GTTGCAAGAGGATTCTAGATTTGGCCTTGGGGGGGCGAATTTTATAAGAAAGGAAAAGTAAATCGTGGTAAGAAAACGCATCGGCTGAGCACTGTCCGTGTTTAGCGACGTGATCTCGAGAGCTAATCAAAATTAGGTCAAGAAGTGACGGGGTACAGTTGGGGAAAGTATGTGTAGCATTTAAAGGGAGAATAGATAAATTACAAGATTCGGTAACAGATAGAAAAGAAGAAGAACGACTATTACTTTTNAGGCGGGGCCTAGTCGCACAAGAGGTCCTACCACCACCAAATATTAGTATTAATAATTCGTATAAACATCTCGATACTTCAAGAAGTCGGCCTCAAGCAGCGTTCGCTACCGAGCATCGTAGCCGCTGCAGCGACCGGTCTTCTCCTATGACCGCTACGAGGAGGGCGCGCTGTTCATCGAATTATGTATTGGTGCAATGCGCCAAAGTATTTTTTTTTATATATTTTTTTTAGATGGGTGGACGAGCTCACAGCCTACCTGGTGTTAAGTGGTTACTGGAGCCCATAGACATCTAGGACGTAAATGCGCCACCCACCTTGAGATATAAGTTCTAAAGTCTCAGTATAAATACAACGGCTGCCCCACCTTTCAAACCGAAACGCATTACTGCTTCACGGCAGATATAGACAGGGTGGTGGTACCTACCTGTGCGGACTTACAAGAGGTCCTACCACCAGTAATTCATCATCATCATCATCGTCAGCCTTTATCTGCCCACTGCTGGACATAGGCCTTCCCCAATGCCTTCCACATAATGCGGTTCTCCGCCTTCCGCATCCAACGACTTCCCGCCGTGCGCACTAAGTCGTCAGTCCACCTGGTTGGACGACGCCCCACGCTCCTTGTACCCATCAGTAATTACGCAAATTATAATTTTGCGGGTTTGATTTTTATTGCACGATGTTATTCCTTCACCGTGGAAGTCAATCGTAAACATTTTTGTTAAGTACGTATTTCATTGGAAAACTTGGTACACCGAAGAATTGCTACATACGAATGCACCGGGCGTCTTATCCTTTAGGCCACGACGACTTCAGAAGCTGTTCAGCTGTGTCATCCTCGTCGCGGTCGACGAGGGATCAGGTGACCCTGTCTTATTTACAATTTTTTTTAAGTTCTTGTAAATGAATGAATGAATGATCTATTTTATTTCAGACAACAATAAGTCCATATGTGTACATAGTATCATTGAAATATACTTAACATTAACAAAACCAATCAAATAAAAAATATACACTTATTAAAAGTAGTTATCGGTGGAATACATTTCAAATATTCCATTCCGCTGATACCTACTTCGAACCAACCATTATTATTACTAATATTATTTAGTCCGCAAGTGAACCATGGTACAATGGTTCAAGTACCGACAGTCATAACGGTATGTTAATGCCTTCAGGATGCTGTTAGGGCTGACCCGGACCCGGCCAATCAGGGATGTGCATCCTTTCCGCATGGTCGTAAAGAAACAGTCGACTCGTGCCTCGGCGAACATTCCCGACGCGCTACAGAACCGAGGCAGCCCCAACAACACCCTGAACTAAAGTTCGAGTTTTCCACTTGCGTCCCTTTTCTACAAATAGTGCGATTTAGGTACTTATTTTAACGTACATAGGCTTACCATTCCCTAAAAATAAATGCACAGTTGATAAAGAACTAAGTAATAAAACAAATTGAACATTCAAAGTGTTTATTCTGCTGAATTATATTATTAAATAATAAAACTGAATTATATTATTAATAAAGGAGAATTTCAAATAAAAATTATTATATCATAAACTTAATTGAATTTTAATATAAATTAACTCTCTTGAGCTCAGCCACAAGGGGTGGTAACAAATTCCCAAGGATAACAATAATAACAATAACTATCCGAAGATGAGTCAGTAGACCAGGGGCAGCTGCCTCACGAGTGAATCTACCACCGGATCGAAATCGCGACCCGCTGAGAAGATCCGGCAAGAAACTCAGCGGGCTGACTTTTGTCAAACTAACTAACAACTAGATATTTATATTGTTATAATTTAAGTATAATAAAATTAATTTAAAAGAATTAAAAAAAAATCAATTTATAATTTTTTTAAAACGACAGATTGCCACTCATGGTGGTCTCTACAACCCAAGCCACTAGATTCTTATTGCTTCAGAGCGAAAAACCTTCGCATGAAACGGGTCCTGTCAGGAATTCCTAATTTCTGTACAAGGTCCTTAACGTAGCTGGATCAACGAACGATTAACGTGTTGGTCAAAACTTTTCGCTATCAAACCGTGCACCAACAACTATCAGAACAACGATGGCTTAAATAGCACGCTCCGTGACGATGATCTCGTGAGCCATGTCTAGGTATTTTATATATTTTCTGCCTTCACGAGATTCTCGCCATTAGGAATTGTAATATACAACAATACCGCTCCACGTGCAGACCAGATGGGTCGCTATCATATCATCAGGCTTATCATTACGATCGGTAATACTGAACACCTTCGGCTTCTGCCAATTTTTTTTAACCAAAAACAGTGGATTGAGTTCCTAATTGGTTTTATCTTAACGAGATATTTTGTAAAGCTCTGTATACCTTTCGCTGATGTAGATATTTGGCTTTTAATATAGTACGCCTCCGTCCGCGGAACATACAATCCCATCACAGATGAAAATGGATGATTCATTCTGGATGCCGAGCTTTTATGGCCAGAGCGTCTAAGCCTGTTTGTGTCCACCTTAGTGTGCTAAAGGAATATGTGAGCATGGGCATGATCCAGCCATTAAGTGTTCAAATCTTGTTTCTGCTCGCGGCCGAAGAACCGTTCTCTTAACGATTGCTGCATATCTGCGTCCACACTAAAGAGTATCATATTATGATATATGTAGGTATCCGATTCACAAACAGATCTGAAGACAACACTGATTATAATATGTAAGCAATCAGATCTTAGAACTTCATCTCTGTGTGCATTTTCAGATTTTAAAGCACTTTTACCAACCCAAATCCCATCACAATGGCTTTACAGAAGTTTCCAATTATTTTAAGTAATGTTAACCAGTGTGGTTTCTTAGAAGCAAATAATTTGGGGTCTTTCATGAACAAGTGATACACCCTTAGCGTAATATGGAGTTAATTTAAAATAGCTCTAAAACTTTGATTAGTCCAGCCCATTAGTTTCGGACCCGCTCTCGCTGGACGTTTTCAGTTCGGCATCGAAATATCTATTGGATCTACCTCTTTATACAGTTCACATTCGTGTAGTCTGCATTTATTTACTTACGGAATGACCGGTGGGTCTGAACCAAATATTTCTCCAAAATGTTGACATGTCCACTTCATTGACAAATTGACATTCGTCGTTAATTGACGTCCATTATTCACTTCGGATTGAGGAGACACCCAATTCCTGTATATAAATTTTTGATCACTTTTGAAAATTCTATTCAAGTGGTTCCGCTCATGTCTCATGTACTTTCAACGACAAATAAGGCCCGCCCAAGTACATTCTAGATGTTTCCAGAAGTCTATACGTACAACGGCTACGTACCTAATCGTTTGGGCTAATCCGAGTCTTGGCAAACACTTTATTGACTAAACGCATAACCCGTGAACAAATATTGCCTGTCTGGTAGCACAGAGTTTTGTTGTAAGTATCCTGGCACTATCGATACGCTTCTCAATTCTGCACTGCCGCTGTGGCTTAATGGGGATCGATAGGGTGTCCGCGATAAATTTGGAAACTTAACCTCAGACACACGACAAACCTCAGCGTAGTAGATGAGTGTGTGTTCTAGTAGATACACTCTGTGCTTGAGTCTAGGTGTGGTTCTAAAATAGATTCCAAAGCCCTTAGATGTGAAACGTTACCAATGACGTACGTATACGTGTATAAACGCGGTAACCGTGATCCAGAGCAGGAGAAAACTAACTTATATTCTTGAATAGAATCTTCCAAAGCACTACTTATATGCTCATAGTCTTGAATACTTGCTGAAATCGGCACTTGAACTTCCTCATCGTAGTTTAACATCGATGGTGTCAATGACCACATCGCTTTGTTGTGGTTCGATGGGAACAGGGGTGCTTCGTAGCGCAGTCGATCAAGTAACGACTCATCTAACAATCTAAGCTGCTAGATAGCTCTTACGTGATCCGACAGTCGATGTGCCGAGACGTTTCCGGGCAATGTCTGCAACTTCGAACGCATCCTCAATTGTTAGTCGGAGAAGTTTGTTTTTTCCTCCGTATTAACACAAGAGTGTGCTTGTATTATTATTTATTCTTATTTATATGTTTATTGCATTGTAAGTGATTGCAACGCATGCGCCAGCACACTATAGCAGCGGTACCGGAGGCCGTAGACGGAGCATTCTGCTTATTTGGTCCAAACGTGGCGATGATGACCGGCCGTGTTCTTTCGCTCGATGATCTGATACTACCCGCCGTACTAAGAGTCCCGTCAGACGATAAGCACATAATGGTATTTGTGTGCAGGTTCGTCTACATTGTCAACTCGGGTTTTTATCTATTGATTGTTTTATTTTACTAATTTTGACAGGTGACCGAATGGTAAACAGTCGACGTCACCCTAAACACGTCATTACGAATCCTCACGTTCCATTAATGATAATGATGATCCATTTCGCCTCGTTGTTCCAAAAAGGTGGCGATGGTGAACGATCGTGCTCTTCCACTCGACGATGATCTTGGAAGGTCTGTTGTTTGTAGACAATTTCCATTTATTATGATATTTTTTTTATAATATTATTATTATTATATATTATATATTATATATTATATTTTATATATTATATTATATAATATTATAAAGAGGAAAGATTTGTTTGTTTGTTTGTTCCGAATAGGCTCCGAAACTACTGGACCGATTTGAAAAAATCTTTTTTCATTAGAAGCCGACGTTGTCCCTGATGAACATAGGCTACTTTTTTATTTTTTTATTTTTTTGGTTTCATGTGTTTTTTAATGTTTCCGAAGCGAAGCGAGGGCGGGTCGCTAGTTTTTTTTATAAAATTCGTAGTTAAGTTGTTCAGAGAGTGTAAAAAAAAGATTTAGGTGTTGATCACACAATTGCATAAAATTATTTGAATTAATGTGAGAAGAAAAATCTTGAAAAGCTTGAGATAGTTATTATGCATTGTCTTATTCGCTGACTTGTTGGAGAACCGTGAAAAAGCTGTAGGATGCTTTCATTATCTGAAATGTTAAATAAATGTTACATTAAAATTTTGTTTTCAATGTTTTTTTTTTTTTTTATTGCCTTTGTCGGCAGACGGGCATACGGCCCACCTGATGGTGAGTGGTTACCGTCGCCCATGGACTTCAGCAATGCCAGGGGCAGAGCCAAGCCGCTGCCTACCTAAAATAACGTAGCAATTGCTATTGTGAAGATGAGCTAAAAGAGACAGCGGTTGCACCACAATAGCATCTGATTATCTCTGCAATTGATTTTAGCTGCAATCAGAAGAATCATAAAACGCTTATTATTAAAATATGTACTAATCTCTAATTTAACTGGTGGTAGGACCTCTTGGGAGTCCGCACGGGTAGGTACCACCGCCCCGCCTATTTCCGCCGTGAAGCAGTAATGCGTTTCGGTTCGAAGGGTGCGGTAGCTGTTGTAACTATACCTGAGATCTTAGAACTTATATCTCGAGGTGGGTGGCGCATTTACGTTGTAGATGTCTATGGGCTCCAGTAACCACTTAACACCAGGTGGGCTGTGAGCTCGTCCATCCATCTAAGCAATAAAAAAAAACAAAATTAATCTAAAGTAATTGATTTATATAAACCGAAGCTAAACAACAAAAACAATATAATTTCATGCATCGTGAATTTTTCCGAAAACGAATATTTTCGGACTTAGCTCTATTCTTAGTGACGTCTCATTATTATCCATTGTAAATAATAATAAGAACTGGGAATAAATCACACACGGTCATCCGGTCCCAAATACATACTTATACATGTTTAAATATATCATATGTCGGCGCAACATTACTCTTTAGTTAACTAAACTTGGTCACGCGGATTTAGTAATGGGATGCTAGTGAATTATTGGGATGGCGCCACCTTTGGAGTTTGTCAGTAACTAATTACCGCGACTATCCAAAGCGTGGTTCTACCCGATCGATCACGCTTTACCGCTAGCTGCCTAGATGGCGGCACTTGTATATTGTGTGGTGCTTGAGCTTACGAAAAGCTACGTGAGCTTCGTCACCCCCTCCCGCCGCCCGCGTGCTTCCATCGCCGACGCCCGCACGACAGTCACTGGCAAGGTCTNTATTTTATGACAAAATTACTTGTTTCTTTAATTCTTTCCCTTTGACAGTGGGAACTATACTGCACATGATAGGAGTGCAACAGTTTCTTAGAAACTTGGTAACGTCCAGTATAATGGACGTACATTTTTCCGGAAACTGAAAAAGTTATATTTTTTCAATTATTTTTTTTAGGGTCTCTTACAAGCTAAGAATCAAGATCTGGAACGATTTTGAAAATTAAATTAAAAAAAACAATCCGTCGAATTAAGGGTTAAACTGTACGGGTGGTTTACTTTTACAACACTTCAAGGGCAAGGGTAAAACTTCTCTCCCCCCACTTCTCACAAACTTATCCCATAAGAGCACGGTCGAAGCAAGACCATCTGCCTCCAATTTAATGGCAGAAGCAAACCCGCCAAGGCCCAGGACTTCAAATTTACTAGCCGATTCAAAGGGGAACCAGACCGTGATGGGACCTCCAGCGGTCACATTGTTAAAAAAGAAAAAGAAGAAATCAAACAGAAAAACAAGAAAAAACAGATGATAAAAACAAGGAAGTCGCCCTAAAGGCCTCGACGTCATCTGCCAAGACCCCCGCATCAAGAACGGAAGGACAAATAGAAATGAAGGTGGCCGACGAAATAGCCCGTAGCCAACTGTCTCCATCCCCGTCTGGAATCAAGCTTCAACTTGCCCCCACAGCCTCTACTCACCCGCGCCCATAGCGCGGACAGCGCAGTGGCCATCAGGCTCCCGAGCCAATCGGCTTCGCTGCTTGGCTGCTCTGGCTGATCTGGGAAAACGTATCCGGGGCGGTCTCAGAAATGATCCGTGAGATCGCCTCGGGTGCCAGCCCCTTCGGGCCCTTCTCACGGAGTTCTACCGGTTGATCGCGCAGCTCAATGGCTAGCTAAGAGCTGCGTGGGATATACTGGAACCCCGACGGGATAGGGTCCTGAAGGCCGGAACTGATCCAACCAAGCTTAAGCCTCAGCAGAACTTTAGGATGCCCAACTACTTCGTGTACCGAAGGGACGAATTCTCTCCTGCTGGGTTCCTGTGCAGGGGTACTGCGGCACTCATCAGGAGGGATTTAGTGCACGATGAGCTGGAGCAGCTGCCTTTCACCTTGATCAGAACGGTCGGAGTCTACGCACCGGGGACCGCGATGCGGATCTATGTCGCATACCAGCCTCCGGGTTCTGACTTCGCCGAGGCTGATATTAGATGAGTCTCGAACTATGACCTCTTGCCGGTGCTGGTGCTGGGGGACCTCAATGCAAAGCATGTTGCGTGGGGTTCCCGCGTCATCTCTGCGCCTGGTAGGAGGTTGTACGAGGATGCCAAAAGGGGGGATTACTGTGTAGTCAGCTCTAATGAACCCACGCACGTCCCAACGTCGGTCCGGTACCAACCGGACCACCCCACACCTGCCGATCTTGGTCACGGTGGGTCTGGGGATAACTCAGGTCGTGATGCCCTCTCAGACCTAGGGCCGACTTGCTTGTCGACCCTAGGTCGATGCTTTCAACGAGATTACTGGCCGACCGATCCCCGATTCAGGACCCGTCTATCCCTAATGAGGTCGACACAGCGGCATCCCGCCTCGTCAACATCATCAGGGAAGCCTTAGACCAAGCGACAACTCTGGTACCCAGCGGGGCGCCCAGAGTAGGACTCCCGGTGCATCTTTAGATGATGATTCGTCGGAAGAGGGCATTAAGGAAGCTCTGGGCGACAACTAGATGTCCCAGAATAAAGCGCGACCCCAACCGGCTGGAGGAGGAGCTGGCGACCAAGGTACAAACCTTCCGGGGAGACTCCTAGGAGGGTGGGGGGCTGCTGAACCAGTCGTAGGACCGTATAATGGCCCCCTCCATCGCTTCTGTTACCGTAGTTGTTTTACACCGTAGGTTGGCGCCAAAGTCCTTGCTAACGCGTTCCATCAACAGGCGGTAGAGGGCGTACTCCGTTTCCTCAAATCGGACTCGCCGAGGGATGAACTGGGGGATGAGGAAGTAGTCACTTCCAGCGAAGTGCGCCATCTCAACAAGTCGATGAAAAGGCGCAAAGCCCCTGGCGAGGACGGTATCACACCTCCTGCTCTTACTAACCTTTCGCCCTCAATCGTATCAGCAATGTCACAATTGTTTAACGATCGGACCATTCTCCAGGTAGGTCACTTCCCTGGAACCTGGAAGTTGGGCAAGATCATTATCCTGTCTAAGCCCGGCAAGGATAGGAAAAAGCTCTCCAGCTACCATCCTCGCTTTCTCACGTGGGCAAGTTGTTTGAGCGGCTGCTCCTGAGGAGAATATCGCCGCGACAAAAAAGGATCTTCCCTTCAGGTACGACCCAAGCAATCTCACATGGACGAGCGGCAGACCCACGTCCCGCAGCTTGTGAACCAGCCCCTCGGACCACACACGGTCGAAGGCCTTCTCGGTATCGAGAAGAACCGCGACCGTGTACTGGCCGTAACAGAAACAATAGAATCAGTCATATACATACATAGATAATAAACACCCAGACAAAGAGCAAACGCTAATGCTTCCCCGACGTGGGAATCCAATCTACGACCCTCGGCGCAACATTCAGGAGCGCTGACTACTTCACCACCAATTAATTATATTTATATAATTTTTTTAAGCCGGGAGGATAAAATTCAAGAATAATGGTAGTCAACTGAGCATTTTTTTACAAATTAATTTTTAATTACCTGCTTATTTACCGGATTATTTAATTTTTAACTGATTTTCTTTTAATATTAATAATTAATTGATATGAGTCAACTGTAAGAGAGGCTAGCGTTCTTAGTACATACTTACACTACGCAATCGGCCACATTTCGTTCGTCAGAAAATACGTGACGTCTGGCGGCCCTTTTTTTTTTTTTTTTTTTGGTAGTGGGCCGTACCTCCTACGAGGCCCCCGCGCAAAAGGGGCGCGCGGGGTATGTGAGACTCAACGATCCGCATGGTGTTGTGAGCAGACCGCGGGCCCAAGGATTTTAGGGCCCACCCTTGGACTATTGCTCCATCACCCATTGAACGAACTGCCTCCGCTTTCCATGGTCTGCTGGTTTAAGCTTCTGAGTAAGCTGAATTTTGTACTCATGAAAGTAGAGAGAGGTCTTTTGTCAAAATTCGCTGCTTAGTGCTTCGCGAAATTTGAAATTGTTGAGAACGATCCCGAATTGATATTTTCGGGTTTGAGGCGACTTTTTTTCCTATCTATTCTAGTGACCTCGAGGAGTTATACTAGATTCAAAGAATTAGTAGGTGAGCTCGCGGGCTTCAAGCCCGACGACGACGCTAACACTAACCCTAGCAAAAGCAGTGCTTCGCAGAGTCTACCACCGGATCGGAAACGCGACCCACTGATAAGATCCGGCGAAAAACTCAGTGGGCTGTGTCTATGGGTTAATTTACTCGCCGAGCCCTTTGTCGCAAGCGACGGGTTTGACGGGAACGATGACCGGTGCTTAAGGCACCTAAAAGCACCGATAGTGGATATGATGGTTAACATTATTAATACTTTGAATACATATTGTAATTGTTTATGCAAATTATGTTGTTGGCATTATGTTGGATAATGACAATGTTTTTTTTAGAGTACTCAGAAGTAATTTCGGTAAAATAAATTAGATTGGAGTCATGTAAATTCAGTAAAATATTTATTTTGAATATTAGGCTGCATGTCATGAATTGTTTCGCAATCATTCCATTGCTTTTTACTTATGTAGGAAATTGTAGTAGTTGCACCAGCACCGCAGATGGATTGGCTAACTTTGTAAAAAATATTGTAGGCAGCGGCTTGGCTCTGCCACTGGCATTGCTGACGTCCATGAGCGATGACCGATACGGCCCACCAGATGTTGAATGGTTATGAGCGACGATAACCACTCACCATCAGGTGGGCCGTATGACCGTCTGCCAACTTGGGCAAAAAAAATTGCTCTTTATAGTATTCACGCAATATTAACGTTTCATGGAATGGTATTGTATTTTCGTTGTAATCTACTAATATCTATTAATAAAAAATGCACAATTTTTTTTTACCTTGATTAGAATAGATGAATTCCATCTAATTTGTAACATATGTAATAACTTATACTATGCTGCTACAAGCAAAAAAATAAATTCTAGTAAAATATAATGCTTTTTAGATACATTCAAAACACATACATATTAAACATGTTTCTGAAACAAACTGTTTTTGTCGTAAGTGGATGCGTTTTTTTTTTGGTCAAGATTAAATCGCTCGATTCCGTCCTCCCCTGGGGATGGAGGGCGGGGCATGTCGGAGTCGAGCCGACTAAAACCTCCTGTCGCTCAACAACCCACGTTCGAACCTCTCATGAGACAGAACTCATGAAAAGGTAAAGGGGGAAAAGTGAAGCGTTTAGTGCGGAGCATATCTCTCCCTGATGGGATGATGGATGATCCCCCCCTCGGGACGCCGGACCGGCGGTCATCGGCGCCACGACCACCAGCCCTCTCGGTCGGCAGGCTATCCGGAGCCCGCCTAGATGACGCCGGATAGAATGGGTTATCCTACGGAATACCGCGCTGGGTCAGAACCAGCGTGGGTTGAGGATAGGGGGCCTTCCATCACCCGGATGCTCTTACGTAAAACGCGTGCAGAGCAGCTTGCATGTCGTCTTCTTAGGTCCCCTTCGCCGGTCCCCTTCGCCGATCCCCAGACCGACATATGAGGGGTACCCGAAACACTTAGAGGGCCAGGGCTTGGGCGAAATCCGCCTCCCTGGCCCCCACTCGACGGCCGCGGGCTTGTGCTTCTCTCACGCGCCTCGCCGCCTCCTGCGAGATGGCGCACTTGCAGAAGTCAGGCATCGCCTTCCACGACTCGTCGCCGCCGAGCATCGATGCCACAACACTCGACAAGTCGTTTCCTATTTTTACGACGAGGTCACGGCGCCACCCTTTCCATGCAGGGCAGACGAGGAGCGTGTGCTGCACCGTGTCCAAGTCGCAACCACAATGGTGGCACTCTGCCATCGGCTCGGCTCCGGTCCGGTGCAGGAAGTCACCGAAGCCACCATGCCCAGTGAGCACCTGCGTGAGCCGGAAAGTCAGGCATCCTCTGTCACGATTCACCCAGTCCATAAGGTCGCCTCGACGGTCCTACGACCAGCCGAAGGATCGGCCAGCCGCCTGGACCATGATTCCAGCACGGACCGCCGAGATTGGGCCCTCCGCGCTCCAACCACACTGGGGCTAGGACGCGCCACGCCCCGGGCACGAAGGTCAGCCTGCCACTGATAGTCAGCGGCGAGCGCCTCCGCCTCCAGGACCCAAGGCGGCGTCCCAGCCAGTACACACGCCGCCTCGAAAGAGACGGTGTGTCACTTCGTCAGGCCCCCCATGTTGGGCAGAAGCCGGCTTAACGCGCCGGCCCCCACAAACGAGGGACCAGGATCTGAAAGTGAGCACGGAAGGTTCAACGACTGTCCAGAATGAGGCCGAGGTACTTCAACTGCACCCCGACACCAATACGGACGCCTCCAAACACAATATAGGCATCGATAGGTGGCACTCTCCGGGGCCTGTGGAACCACATGGCCTCGGATTTATTGAGTGCCACGATGAGGCCCAATCACCCGATTTTGCCGACAGAGAACTTAGAACTTACATCTCAAGGTGAGTGGCGCATTTACGTTGTAAATGTCTATGGGCTCCAGTAACCACTTAACACCAGGAAGGCTGTGAGAAAAAAAAACTTCAGCAATGCCAGGGGCAGAGACAAGCCGCTGCCTACCGTTAAGTACTCTCCACAAGCCTCGTTTGAAGACAAGTTATAGCGCTACCGTGGAGTCGAGCTCATTCCAAAGCAGCTCATTGGTAAGTGGCAAAAAATATCTGTGGAAACGCACTGTGGATGAACGCAGTGGCGCCAGAGCTAGTATGGATGATCTCTACTCCGGTGGCGGGCGGTGCGATGGTACAAACGAGATGATGAGATAATCTCAAACAATTCCTCAGAGCAGCAGAGCCTTCCTTAGAATTATCGTATATGTTTTTTTTTGGTTTATTGGGATAACAATTTTCGGACATACTTTCATTTTGTTCTGTGTGTTATCAAAGATCAAAAACTAACCGCCATATATTCGGTTATGTCCAAGGTCACGAATCCCCCCGCCGTGAGTATGGCGGGGCTCTGTGCTCGCATCATGATTATTAACAGTGTCCGTTTCAAGGGCTGAGTGAGGGTGTACCATGGACATTCATATACCGCGTCCGCAATATCTTCACTCTGCTCATGACAAAAAATTAAGTTATTGTCTGTTTGAAATTAATTTAACTAAACAATGATAATTAACCAAGGACGTACGGCGTTACTAAGAGACTGTCCTTGAAAGCAGAATAAAAAAACTTCAAATGACGCTCCGAGTAAATACCCAGCCATTGATAATTTTTGTATAGTATCAGTTGATTTGTTCTGAAACAAATAGCGAAATATATTGAAAATATAAGTGGACGGAACGAAATTAAGTAAATGCATTAAGGTGAACCACTCCTTAATAGTCGATGGTTTAGTAAAAATGATTTTAACCTGCATTGACTTGAATTAAACCTGAGAATCACTTATGTAGATGATCTACAACGTACTGAGTGGATTACTTTAAAACCAAATTCAAGTTGAAATCAGAAGGAATAGTTTGAACAAGGCTATTATTTATTTATTTATTTATTTATTTATTTATTTATTACACTTCATGTAAAATTTACATTGGCGGACTTAATGCTTAAGGCATTCTCTACCAGTCAACCAAAGGTAGTGCAGAGTAAATAGTGGTAGGTGCAATGAAATTTATATTAAGTTACGAATACATACAAAAAAAAGTATATATATATTTTTTTTTTTATTGCTTAGATGGACGGACGAGCTCACAGCCCACCTGGTGTTAAGTGGTTACTGGAGCCCATAGACATCTACAACGTAAATGCGCCACCCACCTCGAGATATAAGTTCTAAGGTCTCAGTATAGTTACAACGGCTACCCCACCCTTCGAACCGAAACGCATTACTGCTTCACGGCGGAAATAGGCGGGGTGGTGGTACCTACCCGTGCGGACTCACAAGAGGTCCTACCACCAGTGATTACGCAAATTATAATTTTGCGGGTTTGGTTTTTATTACACGATGTTATTCCTTCACCATGGAAGTCAATCGTGAACATTTGTTGAGTACGTATTTCATTAGAAAAATTGGTACCCGCCTGCGGGATTCGAACACCGGTGCATCGCTTCAACACGAATGCACCGGACGTGTTATCCTTTAGGCGACGACGATATACATACATACAAAATCACATATACATATACATACATACATATATACACACATACATACATATAATAGATTATACAGTATTAAGCTATTACGCTTTTTGGATTCTAGATGTTTGTTTGCTTTGAGCCCTTACAGATTTTTTTTATTTATACTCTATTCCAATTACAAAGTCCCATGAGACCGATGTTATTATTATGTTATTGTGTGTGTGAATTAATTGTATAACGATTTAGATTGATTGTGTATTTTTTAAATTATGTTTAAGTACGACCATGAACAAAAAATAAATATTATTTCAAATTAAGCGAAACGTGCAGAGTTACGTTCTAAGAAGCGTCAAAAGGGACTTCGTAATTGGAATCTATATATTAATACGTGAAGCAAAAACTTTGTATCCCTTTTTACGAAAATTGCGCGGACGGAGGAGTATGAAATTTTCCACACTTATAGAGAATATAGAGAAGAAGTGCACATTGCTAATATTTTTTTTAAATAATGCATAAAAGATACATTAAATCAATAAAGAAATCGTTACACACACCATGTATTTGACGCACACACGCATGCATCATATTTATTGTCAAACTTTTGTTCTTGACGTCTGTTGTCAAATTGAGAATAGATTAAATATTGTTTGTCTTTGTTAATATTTTTTATAGTGTAGTTTTGGAGAATTTTGTGATTTTAGAAGTATAAAATACAATCATAATAGTGTATAAACTTACAATTCCAATTAATTATAGTCGAATTTCGACTACTGTGGGACCTCTAGTAGAGTATAGTTATGTGAGCACATGAATAAAATAAGTTTCGTTGACGACCACGAACGAGTTATAAAATAGCGGCTTGTCTTGGTCAGAGCGTTGCTTTTAATCCTTCGCGAAAAAATCGCACCATTTAATTAGTAAGGAAATAAAAAAAATAGGATAAGGCTCGATCGCAACATACCCTGCCACCAGTACAGTATTCTTACCACAGCCATTTGATATGCCGTAGTGCAGATGATCACAATGGATACCGTGAGTTGCACCAAAAGTACTTCGGATAAACAATGCTTAACGTCCTCCGCTGCGTCCAGAGCATACTTATGTTGCGAAATAGCACAGTGAAGCCTTTCTGTAATGAGTTTTTCTTCTTCTGGTGTGATGAGATTCTACAAGAAAATTGATGATCATGAAAATGTCGACCTATTAATATTTAACCTATTAAAGAAATCATTGATGATTACCTTTTTGTTCACCGGTATATTGATGCAGATATTTCGTAGCGACAAAGCCACTAGCTTTAGTCTACAACGGCAGCCTGCGACCACCGATGCGAAGAAGATATTAATATTGAACTCAAAATACCCCGTGAATACCATCATCATGCACTGAGCAAAGAAAGTCTAATAAGTTAAATATGTATTTGTACCTTCCTTTGTTTCGATTTTAACTTTTGGATAATTTGAGTATATAGGGTTCCTGACAGCTACTACGTCGAGTCGTGGGCTCCTTGTATGATTTATGCCTGAAGCCCTCCTTTGGGCATGCATTCCTGTTATGAATTGGTCTGCTGGCTCTCTTTCAACGTTTAATACCAATGTAAGAAGACTTACTTATGTTAAGCATGTATATTAGTCTCTGGTTCCCTTGGTACCGGAAATCATAGCTAGAGGTCAGATGAGCCTGTGTTTTTTGTCCCCCATTATTTAATTTTCATACTATAAAATTTGTATTGGCACTTTTGAAAAATCTTGAGGTCCAAAGCCACAGCCGAAATTTGCCGTATTCAAATACAACGAAGCTTGTCGTTTGTTTAATAAATAATATATAATAAATATTATCTAATAGTTCATAATTAGTAATTAACGCAAATTTAGTGGACGGTACGTTATCGAATTTAATGTAGATCCTTCTGTTGGATCGGTACTTCGAATGTTATCGTCTGATGTTTGACATGTTTTTCTTGTGAGCTTTTGTGTAGATCCGACGTTCGAAACTATAGGGTAGTACCTATATGTAGCCTGCACGGGAAGTTTACGCGATCCTGCATATTTCTGCTGCGAAGCAATCTTGCCTCCTGGTTTGTAGGGTGCCACAGCTGTTATACAATACAATTGAGATTTCGATCTCATGTCACAAGGTGCGTGGAGGTTTTCAAGTTTTGCGATCTGTGAGCTCCGGAAACCAATAAACACCAGGTAAAACTAACCACTAAATACCCCTTATCTAAGGAACCAGAATGCTTACAAACAAGTACTGCTTACCTGATGTATAAGTGCAAACTCATAGCCCGGTGATTTCAGTTCATTAAACGGGTATCTTAAATAGAAGGAAAAATACGTCATGATGTTGCTTTATGATATAATGATTGATATTTTATATTACACGGTAATTATTATTAGTGATTTCGGTATTAGCAAACGTCAGCTTTACCGGAACTATTTTTTTTCCTCACCTATTCTGGCTGGTATACATACATACGGCCTAGCCTACAGGTACAGGTAGCCTAAGATGGTAGTTGTATACTAGCAGTTACGTGGACGGATAGGTGAATTCACGGGTTAAACTCAGAGAATTTACTAATACTAGCCCAAACCAAAATATAAAACCCAAGTGCGCTTGGTGCGGGCACTGGTCTTTTCCATATCTACGGAGCAGAGACATGGTGCATGAAAAGTCGCGATGGCAAAAATATCGATTCCTTTGAAATTTGGGTGTGGTGGAGGATGCTCCGAATACCATGGACTGCCATGAGAACTAACGACTCTACTTTAATAGACCTAACCACCCAAAAAGGCTCTCTACGATCTGCCAAGAACGTGATTTGAGCTTCTTCTTGAAATTAGAGAAGCTCATAATTTTGGGTCGCATAGAAAGAAGGCAAGCGCGCCGTGGGCAGAACACCAGCTATATGCTCAGATCTGGTTAAGAAAGCGATTGGTCGTATACTATGCGGTCCATGCGAACCATGACCGAACACTATGGAGGAAAGTCACACGTGATCGCGATCTTCAGCGGTGAGGGAACGATGAAGAAGAAGAAGCCCAAGCAAGAGCAGTCTTTCGCAGAATCTACAGCCGGTTTGGAAACGCGACCCACTGAGAAGATCCAGCGAGAAACTTTATGGATTGTCGACGAATAATCTAAATAAGAAATTATGTCTTCTACGCATCGATATATTACCACTAGATCCCGCGTAGAGGCGTCAAAAGCAGTGGCGTAGCTAGGTAACAAAGGGCCCCGGGGCAAATAAAAAAATGGGGCCCCACTGCTATGTAAACTAATTAAATTTTATCAAATAAAGTATGAAATATACAACACAATACTTTAAAAATGCTAAGCTACTTAAGTTAGGGGAGGGGGCTATGGATGTGGTATAACAGTAATGGACCGTACCTATCGCTTCCTCCAAGGAAATCTGAACCACTCCGCCAGAGCTCAGGACATTACTCATACTTACACAAACAGTTTTATAGTTACTTACAAAAAATAAATATTACTCACTTAGCTCGAATAAAAAATGTGCTGCTATGCTCACCCAAGAACCAGAAAAAAGTCGTAAAAATAACAGACGAAGTGTAATACTGAAAAAACCGGGTCGTCTCTTTATCGATACTGGAAAAAAATGCTTTCAATCAACTGAGCAGTAAAATGAAACTCGTTTAATAATGGAATATACTTAATTGTTGAAACAGCTTTAGCGCCATAGTTTTTGGATGTTGATGTATTCATTTTATGCGACTTTTTTTCCTATCTAAGCTGATAGCCTTGAGAGGAGAGTAGGTGAGCTCACGGGGCTCAAACCGGGAGTTTTGCTAACACTGGCCCTAGCAAGGGCAGTGCTTCGCAGAATCTACCACCGGATCGGAAACGCGACCCACTGAGAAGATCCGGCGATTTACTCAGTGGGCTGTATCTATGGGTTAGTTTACTCGTCGAACCCTTCGTCGCAAGCGACGGGTTCGGCGAGGACGGTGACCAGACATTTCGCTAGGAAAACAACAGACTCGACAAACTTAGTGACTCAAATGTTGAAGTTCTGTACGATAACTAGCTGATACTTTTTTATATAGTACCCAAAGAATAAATACGGTAAAAATGGGCTCATGAATACGTAGCATAGCATCATAGTCACGACCTCTAATAGCCATAAATGGACTTTCTCCGTGGTAGCCTATGCTACATCCATCATCCATTAGATAATGGATAAATTGGAAATATAAGGGTTTTTACAGAGACTTGAATCTCCGCGGCCCTTCCAGGCAGTCCATCAGTCAATGAGGAGTATTGGTAAGTCGCTGGATGATCGAAACTAGTCGTAGCCCCACTGCTAACAAGGACCATGATAAGGATGGCGCCTACTTAAGTTTGGCACCGTCATGCCAAAAAGCGTTACTCTGGAACATTTGAAGCAGGAGACTATAATAAAAATTTAAAAACCTATTCTTCAAAGTTTCGACACAAATATTTCCGATTTCTAGTCGAATTTTGTGAACCAGCCAATGAGCGGTATGAATTTCTAATAACACCCTTTTTACACTCACAGAACTTCGATAATGATCAGAAAATAGTATAGTAATAATAATAAGGTCGTAAAAATAGTTGCCTGTTCATTGTAATTAGAGTATAATATGCGTACCTCGCGATAATCTTTTGGCCTTCCAATCTGTTTTCAGAACACAATATGTCTTCAGTTCCATTGATGATCTCCATTATTTTATCGTATTTGAATATTAACGTTAAAATCTTAGAAATCACTGCTAATTCCATAAAGAGAAGCAAAGATGTTTCCGCCATGAGATCAAGGTCACCCCAGATGTCAATAAGGTCCGCGATTTGTACGTAAGTTGCAGCAACTGCTTAGAAAATAATATGTTAACTGGTATTACCCACGGATATGATCAGCTTACAAAGATTGCATCCATACAACTTAGATAGAGATCGCGACACTGCGTGAGTATATCCAAGAGGTAGCTGACTGTGTACTCGAGTTTTGTATATGGCTATGCAAACGCGGTGCTTATGTAAACAAACGATTTTATTTGGGTTTCAAAATCTACAGACCTTCCCATTCAAATTTCCTATGATTTTGTTTTGGACTACGGCGTCTTCCAGCTCCAATAGATCACCAGTGACCAGTAACAGTGACTAGCGTTGAGGGGTGTGGTCCCGTGGCCATGGTTTTTGTCGAACCTTTTTTGTCCCAGTTTGGATCCATCCGGTATCGCCTGATCCGTACTTGGATGCCACTCGCTCGCACCGACACCGGGTCTAGGTGGACTTGTCGAGAGTGTCAGCGGATTTGTATGGGATGAGAAGGCCGCAGTGGGCAGTATGACTTGGCTACAAAGGGCAGCTGCCTGACATTACTAATATCCATGAGCGATGGTGATTAATAACCGTACGATGGGTCATATGCTCGTCTACCTACAATGGCAACAAAAAATTTTGACTACCCAAAATATTGCTACGCCGGTAAGAGTAACGCCATCTATCGCCGAATAGCCGAAACAAATATCAAAGGAACTAGTAACGTCGAAAACGCTCGAGAAGTACAACGCCATCTATTGTCAGATTGCGGAAACACACATCGAAGCTACTCGACTTGCCCAGAATGTTCTCGTTGAATATAGTGATGTCGTATCGACTATAAAAGCGTAGCAGAGATGGCATGAAGTCAGTTAGTAATCGGAACTACTCGAAGCGAAACATTGGACGGTTCAGCTCAAGCGAAGCGGAAGAAGTTAATTAAGAATTTTAAAGTATTTTGTGAGTGTTCAAGTGCTAATACTCGTACAGTTTTCATTTGTACGTCGGTAGAATTTTTATTTATCCCGAACCCCAGCGCGTAAAAATAATAATATGTATAATCTCCGGTTGACTCTACAAGTTTATCATTAGTTTTTTGAGCGAACGGAGCCTCGAACCCGAAATTAATGGTAGCTACTTCATCAACATTGTTGTTATACATGGTGCAGTGGTCGCGTAATGCAGCAATTTTCCAGAAATGGCGAAGATCGTAGTGAAAGATGTAAAGTAAAAGGTGTACTAAAGACTACTGGCAACTACAAGTACAGCCACTCTAACAATAGTGAACGACTTAGAAGGGGCTTGTTATTCCTGAGCTGGTCACAGTTGTACACGAACACACTCGTTTGGGTTATCGGTGTCGGGAACTGGAAGGAGAAAGCCCTGAACAGAGCAGTCTGGAGAGACATACTGGACCAGGCTAAGGCCCACCCTGGGCTGTAAGGCCTAAGATGATGATGATGATGATACTCGTTTGGAGTCGTCGTGGCCTAAAGGATAAGACGTTTGGTGCATTCGTATGTAGCGATTCTTCGGTGTACCAATTTTTCCAATGAAATACGTACTTAACAAATGCTTACGATTGGCTTCCACGGTGAAGGAATAACAACGTGCAATAAAAATCAAACCAGCAACATTATAATTTGTCTAATTACTGGTGGTAGCACCTCTTGTGAGTCCGTACCACCACCCTGCCTATTTCTGCTGTGAAGCAGTATTGCGTTTCGGTTTGAAGGGTGGGGCAGCTGTTGTATCTATACTGAAACCTTAGAACTTATATCTCAAGGTGGGTGGCGCATTTACGTTGTAAATGTCTATATACTCCGGTAACCACTTCCTCCAGGTAGGCAGTGAGCTCGTCCAACCATCATAGCAATAAAATAAAAAAACTTCAGAGGTGTCAAGGGACACCCGGATGGAACGAAGTTCCTTTCGATTAATTAGTGAAGGAATTGTAATTTTTTTTTAAATTTATAATAATAAATTACGGCATTACGAAGAAGAAAAAAACAATACTATGAACTAAATTACTATTGTTGAAACGCTATCTCGAGAAACTGTACTCATTACGCGGACCAATCGGATACGAGCAATGTCACGCGATAAGCGCCTACACGTTGATTGGTCAGAATGACGGATCTAAAAAGTGTCGTGACAACTTTTCGTAAGATTTTTTCCGTCTAGCCCCCTTTCACAACGCGCGATAAGGAACTTCGTTCCATAAAACCCAGTAATTTTACTGGTGGTAGAACGTCTTGTGAGCCCGCAAAGGTACAGTAATGCGTTTTGGTTTGAAGGGCGGGGCAGCCGTTGTTCTGTTAAAAGTGAGACCTTAAAACTCATGTCTTAAGGTGGGTGGCGGCATTTACGTTGTAGATGCCTATGGGCTCCGCTAACCACTCACGACCCTCCTGGTGTTGAGCATCAGGTGGGTCGTGAGCTCGTCCATCCATCTAAGCAATCATCATTTTAGAATGTCATTGTATGTAATATGTTACGCACCAAATAAATACAGGAAAACCAGCCACCCATACACTCTGACGATGATCCTTTGAGTCTTCGTGTATTGATCTCGCATTATTAATCCGGCCCATGATAAAGTGTTCAAAGTTATTGTTAACCCAAGCATTTTGTTTCTGATAAAGAACGCCATGGCCACATCGAAATGTGTCTGAAAGTAGAAATAAAACAAAAATAGATTCGTGATTTAGAGCGTACATCAGGTGACAAAGGAGTATTTTTGCTAATCATGGCCATCTTAGGTAGATCTCTCGGTCCACCTTTATTACATGAGAATAGCAAATGGGTCGGGTTTCTGATCTCTGACTTTATTAGGATTTAGGAAAGAAACCGTTCTTCCGCGTATGCCAAAGTAAATATATTTTAAATTTATATGAAATATATAAAGTATTCGTCCATTTTTACTGTATCCGAATAAAAGCAATCGCAATATGTACGTACTGATATGTACATATATTATATGATTTTATTATACAACGATATGTCCTCGTATCATTAAGATTAATTTAGAAGTAATATTACCAAAACTAACTTGCAGGTGTGTCTACAGACTGGACTTGAAATGCAAACTGAGAGCTGGTTTAAGCCCAGAATTCCTCCTATGCAACTGGCAATTACGCATTAAGGGTTACAGGGGCGGAACCATTGTATGGGAAACTAGCCTATGGTAGGTAATGAAAATTCAGATACGGATTGAGAGAAATAAAACCAACTTTATCTTTTGTTAAATTATTTTTTAATGAATGTCACATTTCTTTGTCATTCAAATGTTTTATATATGACAGATGATAATGTGTTAACATTAATGTATCTGTATCAATTGGTTAGATAAATTTTGACCTTGTTATTGGACACATGCCAGCTTTTTCAAATTGAAAAGTAAGCTTAGAATCACTACCATACTTACTTGGTAAGCTTTCATGTGATGGTTTCATTCGCTGGTTAATGAGAGGCGCCATTTCCTCTCTCAGGTTGTATTGCAGTCCCAAAGAAGTACCATTCACCCGAGAATTGGCAGCACCGTTCCTTGGTTTTTTTTTTTATTTTATTGCTAGATGGGTGGACGAGCTCACAGCCCACCTGGTGTTAAGTGGTTACTGGAGCCCATAGACATCTACGACGTAAATGCACCACCCACCTTGAGATATAAGTTCTAAGGTCTCAAGTATAGTTACAACGGCTGCCCCACCCTTCAAACCGAAACGCATTATTGCTTCACGGCAGAAATAGGCAGGGCGGTGGTGCCTACCCGCGCGGACTCACAAGAGGTCCTACCACCAGTAATTACACAAATTATAATTTTGCGGGTTTCATTTTTATTTCATTATTATTGTTAGGGTATTGTTTCAACGCCAAGTTGTATTTACTGGTAAGAGGCCGCATTATTGGCCAGAACTATTCGGCGGGCTAATTCAGCAGCGACACAATCTTCCATTCCAGTTTAGCTGGGTGATGGGATGCTAGGACAACCATTACAACGATTATACTTTCATTTCAAGTGACCAGGACTCATAGATTTCAGTACAACATAAAAACGATGTTAGAATATTTAAAACTACAACAAAATAGCCACACCGTGACCTGGGGTCAGCCATTGCATTTTCCGCCTACGGTTATCGTAAAGAATCAACTTTTCATCACATGTCACAATTCAATCCTATATTCCTTCATTTCTGTATCGATTCAACAAGGCAACACAAGTTTCAACACGCGTTTCTTTCTGCAGATCAGTCAAAGCATGATGCACGCATTTTTCATTAAAAAAAAAATTATTGATTTGACGCAAATAAGTCAATGTTGTAGGTAAGGTAACGTTAAACCATGCCGCTAATTCCTGGCTCGGATCGGCTTCCATCATCTCTTTCAATTCATTGTTATTCACATGTGTCGGCCATCTTCCATGTGGTTCGTTCTTCAAATCAAAATTTTCATCACGAAAGCGTTTGAACCAAAATCGCACGGTGCGTTCATTAGCAGTCCCATCTCCAAACGAAAGATTGATATTGCGAGCTGCTTCTGCAGCGTTAGTTCCGCGTCGGAACTCGTATTCAAAAATCACTCGAATTTTTGAAGTATCCAGCTTTCTTGTATAAGCTGAAGTTGTACATTTTAAAAAAAAGGTGCTCACAGATACCATTTGAAAAAAGTTTCACTCAAAAACTCAAACCATGAAGGTTCCTATGTCAATTCGAAGTACCTATTACAATAGAACGGCAATTTCATACTTTAACCCCTATTATTATAGTGAAAGTTAATATTCTTTTTTTAATTTTTGCATTTTTTTTCAATTAAAATATCTACCCATCGTATCGTAACAATCCATCACTGTCAGCAAAGTGGTAATCTATCTATGCCTTTCGGGTGTTGAATTTTTGGAAAAAATAGGAGTCTCTCATCGTTGTCGGGTAGGAGCAGCGGTGACGAGTGTTTTTTTTTTATATTGCTTAGACGAGTGGACGAGCTCACAGACCACCTGGTGTTAAGTGGTTACTGGAGCCCATATACATCTACAGCGTAAATGCCACCACCCACCTTGAGATATGAATTCTAAGGTATCAGGTAAACAACGGCTGCTCCACCCTTCAAACCGAAACGCATTACTGCTTCACGGCAGAAATAGGCGGGGTGGTGGTACCTACCCGTGCGGACGCCAAGAGGTCCTACCACCAATTTGTGCGGCATTGCTACCGCGACGGATCTCCTCTTCCACAATTACTCGTAATTTGATCATGTCCATATCGATGACAAAGATACAAATCTAGTGAAAACAAAACACCAACCAATAAACAATCGACTGAATTTGAAAATATAATTACATATTTTTAAAATAATATTCATTGTAACTTAAAATTTACTGCGAGCAATACATACATAGTTAATTAATATTCAAATGACCACTATTGTAAAACGACAACTTCATACGTAAATACCTTTTTTTCATATTTTATAGTCATTAACAATAGAGGGCATCATGATGGTCAATATGTTCGTTAAGTGGAGTTTCACTACATGAATCCGAAGATCGCTTGGCTTAAAGCATTACTCACATAACATACAAAATAGGTTGGGGAAAAAGTCTTTTCGCATTATAGTATGCATGAACTTGTAATAAAATCTCTTTGGCTATACTATCTGTATCTGGCTGGTTTTGGTATCATTAAAAGTTTAAATTTTAAAGAAGACAATTCCAAATTCACATTAAGAAAATGTGTGATTTTTATTTATTTTTCGTACTGTCAAGATGAGTGAATCTAATGAAGAAATTCTTTTATGTTTAAAATTTTAAACATAAAATATAAAAATGCAACAAAATCCGCGAAAAAAAATTTCGATGTTTATGGACCTAGTTGCACTTGAGAGTAGCACAAATTTGGTTTAAGCGTTTTCAATCGAAAAAATTTGATGTCAAAGATGCACGTCGCTCTGGTTGCCCTATTACGGATAAAATTGATGCCATTTTTGAAAAAGTGGAGCAAGATCGGCATATCAGTAGTTACGACGTAGCTGAAGAACTGGGAATTGACCACAAAACCGTTTTGGCACATTTGAATAAAACTGGGTACACAAAAAAGCTCGATATTTGGGTACCTCACGAGCTCATTGAAAGAAACCTACTGAACCGTGTACTCATTTGTGATTCTTTATTACGACGTAAGAGGGTGGGCGGAACTGTGTCAAGTCGAACATCAGCTCCGAGTATTTTGTAGATTTAAAAATAAAATCAGTGCTTAAAAACCAGTGGAATAGAATATTATGGATTTATAAACAAATGATTTACAACATAGTGAAATAATAACTTATCTGCTTATAAATAGTGAATAGCTGTAATAACAAACTATCATCTTGTTGGGGCAAATGGACAATAATTACGAAAAATTATTACCTAAACGAACTAAATCGCGGTAGGAAGTGACAAAGTGTGAATATTAGTGGACTATTGTGGACTAAATACAAATAGAAGAAAAATAACCTAAATCTATACTTGATGATTAGGCAATTATCATTAAATAAATCATAACCAGCGCCATCTGCTTAAACTCGATGTACTACGTCCTACAAACAACGAAACATTATCGATAGATTTGCAAACAAAAGCTATCACTTGGATGAATTAGTTTAGAAAAGGAAATAAATATATAGGAAAATAGTCGCTAGATGACACTACCAGTGCTATAAAAATATAATTTACTAATTTTATTCTAAGCATCTCACAAATCATGGAGGACATTATGAATGCACTTCGTCACATCCAAAAAGAGTTAGATGAACAAAAAATCGCCATACAAAGAAGTGGAGAAAAAGTTACGGAACAGGTAACACAAAATATAAATAGCATAATGGAAGAAAAATTTACAATTTTAGAAAAAAAATATGACAACCTCCAAACAAAAGTAGAAAATCAAGAGAAACGTCTTTATTTTTTGGAAAAACAAGCAAGACGACGAAACTTTGTATTGTTCGGATTAGACGAAAAAGAGACATCATACTCAAACTTGGAAAATACTTTGGTAGAATTTACAAAAAAATACTTTGAGTTAAACATAGAACGAAGAGACATACAAGAAATAAAGAGAATTGGAAAAAAAGGAGAAAGACCTAGACCAATTGTTGTCACTCTTTCTAATCTAGGATTAAAAATCGAGATATGTAAACAAAAAAATGCACTAAAAGACACAACATACTATATAAAGGAAGATTACCCACGGGATATATTAAATAAAAGAAAAGAATTACAAAAGCAACTAAAGATTGAAAGAGAAAAAGGAAACACTGCCATAATAAAATACGATAAACTTATAGTACTAGACAAAGACAAGAATATAACAAATAAGAGAAATCTCTCAATATCTCCTGAAAATATCCATAATCTAGTAAATAAACCAAAAAAGAATAAACAACAACTGTCTGACTCAAAAATCAAGGTCATAAGGTCAAATAGTGTCACCGAAAAAGCTATAAAACCAAGCATGTTGAACTTCTTGACAACGAATAAAAATACATAACAACTAACCCCCTCTCTCCACGCTGATACCACAAATAAACAAACTTCAATAAAAAAGACAAAAAAATCTTCCAACCCGGCTGGTCACCGTGGAAGATTACGACCAAAACCCTCCAAAGTTACAAAACTCAAACCCAACCTTAAAAACTTGGACAAAATCTGATAAAGCATAGTCACTAATACAAAAAAAAAATAGATATATAAATAAATAAATATATATACTATCTGTCATCATACATGACGATATCGTGGGACTTTCGGAAGTTAAATGACAGGGTAACAAATAGAAGAACACAACGCTTTTATATTTTGCTACATTGGAACTTCACCCGGAAAAATCTGGAGCAGGATTCTTAATACACAACTCTTTGGAGGAGGCCTTTACCCAAACCGGGATTTCTTCGGGGACTGTGACGTCGTTCTTGTTAATTTATATTTATTTTAATACACGTACTTATATTACTAACATAATTTAAGCTAACTTGCTAACAAAAATCATATTAGTTGTTTAATGTAATATTATAATCCACCTAAGATTGTAAAACAAGAAATAAAAAAAGGCTTATTAAAAAAAAAAAATTAAAATTACGACGTAATGAAACCGAACCATTTTTGAAGCTGAAGGAGCTGATAACTGATGATAATAAGTAGATCGCCACGTACGAAAAGAACGTGCGAAAAAGGTCGTGGTCAAAGGCCGATCAGGCTTCACAGACTGTGGCTAAACCCGGGTTAACTCGCAACAAGGTGATGCTGGGTGTGCGGTGGAATTGGAAGGGCATTATTCATTATGAGCTGTTACCACCAGGCAGGACCATCGATTCTGAACTCTACTGCGAACAACTGATGAGATTAAAGCAAGAAGTTGAGAGAAAGCGGCCGGAATTAATCAACACAAGGGGTGTGGTTTTTCATCATGATAACGCTAGACCTCACACATTTTTAGCCACTCAAAAAAATTAAGAGAGCTTGGCTGGGAGATGTTAATACATCTGCCGTATAATCCTGACCTTGCACCTTCAGATTTCCACCTATTTCGGTCTCTTCAGAACTCTTTAGGCAGTGTCAGGTTAACATCACGAGAGGACTGCCAAAACCAATTGTCGCGGTATTTTGATCAGAAGCCAAAAAAAAAAAAAACCCCAAAATTCCTACAAGATGGCCAAAATTTATCGAACAAAATGGTACCTACATACTTTAGTTAAATGTAAATAAACTATATTAAAAAATATTGTGAACTTTCTTAAAAAATGCGAAGAAACATTTTCTCCAACCTATTGCATAATGTATGAATTAAATTATGGAATTTCGTACGAATATTTTACGTTTACGAAAACTATCGTATGGACAACATTCACAAACCCGTCATTGTAATCGTCCACGGATCCTCCTAGCCAATCGAAACGGTTTTGAAGTTCGAGCCGAAAGTATCCAGGAGTTTGGATCTGAGCTGATGCCGACGGATCGTAGACCTTATCAATCGGAATCTCTCTAACTTTATATTGAAGTTCAGTGTGCCTCTCACTTCCGGTTTTAACCGCATTAATCACAAAGACATCATTGAATTTTCAACATCATAGTGAAATCTATCTCATTTTTGACAACATATTTTTAAAATAACAGTACCTAATTATAAAGTTTACTGCCAGCCGCCATACATAGACCACTATTTTAAAACGGTAACTTCATATATAAGACCTATAAATACATACATATATCCATTAACAATAGAGGGCATCATGATGTTCAATATGTTCGTTATGTCGAGTTTCACTACATGAATAGAAGAATAGCTCAGAAGATCGCTTGACTTAAAGCATTACTCACATAACATACATACTTATCGTATGAATTAAATAATAGAATTTCATACGAATATTTTATTAAAATACTGAATTCGGTTCTGAGTCAGGAATGCAACATAATGGCAAAGTAAAGATTCTATTACTAATTCAAAGAGTAAAGTAAACTGTCTATTTAATTATTCTGAGAATTCAACCAGATGTCAAATTCAAAGCTGCGCTGAAACATGCGTCACTGCTGCTCGAGGCTGAGAAGGGGCATGCAATGATTACCCCAATTTATATATTAATTTGTATTATTTGTATTATATGGTATCGCGTCACCTTACATTGGCAAAAATCACTATTTTTGGTAAGAAAAATATTAAAACATTAACAGATTTAATCTGCTCTTTTCTCTTGATGCGTGTTTATCGGGCGGTGTCTTATCGTTTAGACTTTAGGCCAAGAAGACTCGAACCAAAACGTTACAGTTACATATATACAGTTATTGTCTATGTGATTTCGCCATTTTATAGGTAACTAGCAACCCGCCCTCGCTTCGCTTCGGAAACATTAAAACACACATGAAACAAAAAAAATAATAAAAAAAAATTAAAAAAAGTAGCCTATGTTCATCAGGGACAATGTCGGCTTCTAATGGAAAAATAATTTTTCAAATCGGTCCAGTAGTTTCGGAACCTATTCGAAACAAACAAACAAACAAATCTTTCCTCTTTATAATATTATTAGTATTAGTATTAGTATAGAGTATAGATTCGTTGATTCCTTGTGTGCGAGAATCAATAGAAGTCTTAAGGCGGTCTGAACTGGTTCATTGGTATTGAGTTTTCTTTTTTGGAAGAAATTGTTTATTTGCTGGAAAAAAAAACCGGAATCTTTTAGAGAATTTACGAGGAGGATGTTGGGTGCCATAGACATGCTAACCGCAGCTGCACTAGCTTAGCGACTGTTTGTTGTACAGTGAACGATATCGGGACATATTGAAGCAGTATCGGATTAATTCACCAGTCATGGTTGTGTAAAGGGAAACCTTTGTTATCATGGTTTGGAGTTGTTGACAACGTAGACCTGCCGCAATTGGCTGAACGGATCTCAGGAAGCTGTAATGGACAACACCAGCACTGGTCCATCATAGGCTCATCGGCGTTTCTGAGCTAGCTTTCCTTTGAGGTAAGATTTGGCCGGTTCTCTTAGGTTCAACGAACGCTCTGCGTATTACAAATTATCGTAAATGAAAATGAATCAAATGATTGATACTGAAACAGTTACGAATGCAAACGAATAGTACATCTTCATGAATAAGTCTGTCTGTATATTACTGCTGTAAGAGGAGAAAATTATTAGAAATAATTGCTGCACTTTTTTATTGTATGCGTTCTGCGGTTTGCTTGATGGTGGCAGTTTGAGACTACTACGTTTCGGTCTTTGGTCTTGTTTGTTAAGGTAGCTCTTCACTTGAGGAAGTTGTTAAAATAGAAAACCTATTCCTGTCGAGCGCCCTTCGAAACAACTGGCTAATGGCAGTCCTCTACGCTGGCTAATCACGTCCACTTTTGTAGTCGTCGTGGCCTAAGAGATAAGACGTCCGGTGCATTCGTGTTGAGCGATGCACCCGTGTTTGAATCCCAGGCGGGTACCAATTTTTCTAATGAATTACGTACTCAACAAATGTTCACGATTGACTTCCACGGTGAAGGAATCCATCGTGTAATAAAAGTGAAACCCGCAAAATTATAATTTGCGTAATTACTGGTGGTAGGACCTCTTGTGAGTCCGCGCGGGTAGGTACCACCGCCCTCCCTATTTCTGCCTTGAAGCAGTAATGCGTTTCGGTTTGAAGGGTGGGGCGGGCAGCCGTTGTAACTATACTTGAGACCATAGAACTTATATCCCAAGGTGGGTGGCGCATTTACGTCGTAGATGTCTATGGGCTCCAGTAACCACTTAACACCGGGTGGGCTGTGAGCTCGTCCAACCATCAAAGCAACAAAAAAAATATTGTAATTTATGTGCATTTCACTCTTCACTAATTAAAACTTCCCTTACAGTTTAATTTCTTCCATGCTTCCACCACGTGTGTCTTATGCTAATCAATTTAAATGTTTTAACTAAGGTGTCCACAATAATGGGGTCTCAAGCAAACTATGATAGCAATATATAGTAAGTATAAATTGTATATCATAAAAATTGTATTAGATGGTTAGACTAATTGTGTTAGCATAAGAAAATTAAATATAACCTGAAAAAAAAGACCATTATGCAAAAATTTAAACGATTTATCAAAATAGATGTAGGATTGTAAGACTGTACGCAAAAATTATGTAAAAACTCCCGATCCATAGCCTTTACATTAGGTAAAAATAAAAATAAATAAATAAATTCATACGTAATATTAAGAGCCATGTCAACGACATGGGAAAAAATTGTGAAGGCAAAATTGGAGGTTTTAGCTGGTTGGAGTCCAGCGCTGCCCGAGCCCGGGTAGTGCTGGGTGTCCATGATGGATTTTCCATCCTGCTTTGCCTGTATATTATAAAATAATAATAATAATAGGGTCATATCCGTCAGGGGATAATAAAATGAAAAAAAAAAAATTACTTACTCCCGTATAAAATCCTTTTCGGCTTCCGTGGTCGCAGCCATGGTCTTTTCTTCGTTTTCTTTCATAATGCTCACAATTTTTTTACAGTTAAAAATAAAAAACAAAAGCTTTTGCATTGAATGCCAAGTTCGTGGCTAAAACGAGGCCTATTTTTGTCATCTCGTAAACATCAACCCCACACAATAGTTTTATAGCTTGACTTATGGAAAGGTACTCTGTGGAAAGAAAGTTGGACCTTAGAACTTATATCTCGAGGTGGGTGGCGCATTTACGTTGTAGATGTCTATGGGCTCCAGTAACCACTTAACACCAGGTGGGCTGTGAGCTCGTCCATCCATCTAAGCAATAAAAAAAAAAAAAATTTACAAATATTATTCTGTACTCGCCTACAATAAATTTAGCTTAGTATTCTTGGGACGGCAGGATGGATGTAATATGCTCTGCGTAAACCCTGTCCCGCCGTCTCAATTGCTCCGACTATGATTTTTTTTATTTTTTTATTGCTCAGATGTGTGGACAAGCTCACAGCCCACCTGGTGTTATGTGGTTAGTGGAGCCCATAGACATCTACAACGTAAACACGCCACCCATCTTGAGATATAAGTTCTAAGGTCTCAAGTATAGTTACAACGGCTGCCCTACCCTTCAAGCCGAAACACATTACTGCTTCACGGCAGAAATAGGCACAGGGTGGTGGTACCTACCCGCGCGGACTCACAAGAGGTCCAGTAAAATATGAATTTAATATTTCATTATGCCCTACATGTACTACCTGATACACCACTTCTGTAATATTGATAAATATCTCAATAGTAAATTCGTGTTAAACTAAATTTATTGAAGCTAAATTGTTTTAATTATATTTACCAAAGAAATTTCTATTGCTTTATTCATATTACATTATCCTATACCTCAATAGTAAT